TAAATTATATATAAATTAGAAGAGCTCTTCTAAATGACAACTTAATATCATCAAGTAAACATGCACGTATGGATACTACATACTCGTATGGATATACGTACGTATCTATGTATGTATGCATGGATGTATGTATGCACAGATGTATGTTGCATTTATGTTTACATATTACCATTTATGGATGCATGTATCCCTATCCATGTATGTGATTGTTCGTGTTAGTGGGTGTGTGAGTGCCTGTGCGTAAATAATAATTGTAACAGTAATTTGAAAAATAGGAAATACTGTAATTGTTAAGTGACAACATTAAATGACGAGCAGAATGAAAGGCGTTGAACTCAGCAGCACTCGGCATTGAACAACATAACTTCCCATTCACATTAATCCAACGTGTCAACCACAAATGTTATTCACACACTTCTTCACTCCATACAAATACAAATGAACTTCTTGTCACAGAAATGACAAGAAACTTATCAAGGAAAATATCTTTCCTTTGTTAACGTTTTACAGTCTAATCCCCATGGGTTTATATATAAACATACATAACATACATACATACATATATCTATAATATACAGTTATATTTTTCAGATTTTTTGCAGTTGGTGATGAATTGCAAGTTAATATAAGCAAATATTTGATTGTATGCGAGAAGTGTAACTGCATGTTCGTTCATCATTATAGTTGGAAGCAGTTGGCAGCACAGGAATGCAATCTGGTGCACTAGAAAACCACATCCAGATTTGAAACCTCAACTAACAAAAAAAACAAACAAGGAATTTGAATTTAATTTGAATTTGAAAGAAGCATGGACATTGAAGTAAAAAAAATAAAATTTGACTGGTAATAATAATATGATTTGGCATTTATAAATAAATGACTAAACTATCTAAGGATAGCAAGAGGTATGATTATAGATTATAATCGTCTAATCGTAATAATTAATATGGTTTGCCGTATGAGGTTAGATTAAAATATTGTATTTTGACGACGCTGTAAAAGAAAGAACAAAAAGAGGTTTGAGTCAAACATACGAAATGTTTTTTGAGGAGAACATTTTTCGAAAGTCAGAATTTATGGTGAAACAGTGATACATAAATACAATTTTTTTATGAAAATCACAAGAGTGATGACGCAGAGATCTTCTAACAGAGTTGTCGGTGGTTGAAAGAAACGCTGTAACACACACTCGGCTGTCCCCAACAACTAGTTTTGACAATCGACAATCGAAAGCACAATTGACAAAAATTGAATACTAAAACTACAAATCAGCTCTCATTGGGAATTATATTGTGTTACATATTTGTGTTTACCAGCTTTTTTGTTTATTACCTGGTTATATACTTGCACAAATATTAACACATATAAGCACTTGAATGTTTGTTTCTCATGTAACGTATTGTTATAACCACCGGAATGATCAAATTGAGCGTTATTATTATCCTAACTATTGTTATCTTTGCGATATTTGTAATCTTTGGATAGAGGATCGTAAAATGATATTTGTAATTTTTTGATCGTAAAAATCTACCGCTGAGGCTGTATATAGGTCCTGCGTAGATGCAGGAAACTGTCAGGTTCCCAGCGGAGTGGTCAGGTGGCAGGTCAGGTTTCAAGCGAGGTTTCAAGCGAAGTCGTAAAAGTGATTTATGTAGTTACTTGGATTTGTTTGATGTTTCAAATAAACGTTCAACAAAGTTTGCGTTCGAAGCAGTTGCCTTCATCTATCGGAAATCTTTAACCTACGGAATAATGAACACTTAACGATCGTTGGCAGCTACAACACTGGTGTTAGAAATATAGAGATCATTGAAGTTATTGCCTTGGTGTTGGTGGTTACGAGAGTCTAAGAGTTACGACAATATATTCAGAAGTTTTAATAAAAAGTGTGTGAATGGCAGTTTATTTCCATAATTGCACGTTATTTCAACCATGCAACAAAAATATCTTTGCATCTTTTGCTCACTTCATATTGTGAAGTTTTTTAAATTTCCAAAACAAACAAACGTTCACAGTTTATATTTTAAAAATTAGTTGATTTTGTAACGAAGATTTAAAAAACGCTAAAAATATACTTACGTAAAATAATTTTATGAGGAAAGTTAAATGTAAACGTTCATAGTCAAAATAACTAAAAAAAATGTCTGGTTCTTGTGAGGATTTAAGTTCTGATAAGTTATAATGATGATATAGCTTCAATGTATATGAAAACTGCGATGTTGGTGATGTTTGTAGGGTTCACATTAATGATGATGATAATGATGTGAAGATTTGATGAGGCAGATTGGTAAAGAAGGAAAAATAAATTGTGGAGATGAATCATGCTTTGATGAATGGTCGGATGGGGATGACCAAGAAGATGACGCTGCTGATAATGATAATGACAAAGTAATGATGACGATGATGTCGACGATGACGATGATGATGAAAGTGACAATGATGATGAAAGTGACAATGACGTCAAGTGTAAAAAAATATAACGAATGAAAAAAATTGCATGATGGCATGGTGCCACAAATCCACAGAAGGAATTATATTGTTTGAAAACACTGAAGTTAGGACATACAACATTTATTCTGTAATAATGCAGACTCATCATAATGCTGAGGATCGCAATGTCGAAAACTGCAAATTTGAAGAAATGTGTAAAATTCAAAAAGTTAGCTTGATGATGGCACGGTGGCAATTCAAACATCCATCCCTCTTCTCACAGTCACTCTTCTACTTTTACTGAGCCGTTAAAAAACAAAAGTTGAAGAAATTATTTCATACTTCAGGAAGACACCTCGCCATTACATATATAAATAAATACATATTTCATGCATGAAGACAAAGGCAGATAAAGAAAAAAGAAAGAGGAAGAGAGCTTTCTTTTAGTTTTGTGTATGCTACTCTCTACCGCAGCTTCTGCAATACAACTTGTGAACGCGAAAACAAATGAAGAAATAAAACAAAAATATATATATATATATATATATATATATATATATATATATATATATATATATATTTACAATATTCTATAAATTCTACCGAATGTTTGGCGTTAATATGTTTGTAGTTCGTTTTTTCGATTTTTCTCACTAAAGTTTTTTGGTGAACGTTTAGTTTATTAAAATTCAAAATAAACTTATTTTTTGAATTCATGCTGCAAATAAGGCCATATATCGATTCCGAATGAATCATCATCAGGTTGGTCAGTTTTTTTTATGAAGTTTTAGTTTTGATGATTGCATATATGCAT